TACCTACCTACAGAATGTTAAATAAAAATCCATCCAGTCCTTTGTATGTGGTCTGTATAAGTCCTACAACACCGAGAAAAATGCTCCGTTTCAAATTTGCTCAACTTGTTATGTCACTAGTTGGATTCTGGTAAAAAAAAATACCTTCCCCTCTCCTGATATTGCCACCCATAGACTGCACCCCCAGTCTAGAACAAAACATTTGCGCAGGTCTGCCATTTTTATTCTTGCTACAGAGGACTGATGTCTACCGGGAAAACTCGGGGGGGGGGGGGGGGGCTCATTGAATTTAAAGAGACACACACACCAAAATGGAGCGTTCTGAGAGAGCTGGCTTATACAGAAATAATTATACACAAACCTCCTCTGGTGCTTGATTCATGTGATATATTGACCACAGCACAGATGTTTCATCTAGACGACAGGGGACTGTTTGAAAAGGCAGAAAAGTTGTATAATATGTCCTCTTTAAAGATAAGTGCTAAGGTAGTGGTGTCTGAATTGAGTTGGGTTTTTTTAAAACTAAATGAGCAAGATAAGAAAAACATGATGTCAACTAATGTGATTTGATTATATGTGCAAGTTTATGGGCGCTAACCTCTCTCTTTCTGTGACAGGAGTGGAGCATTCTTCTTCCTTATCATCAACATGGTGTTTGGGAATCTCTCTGCTGTTGAACTCTTCATAAACGAAAGGGCGATCTTCATGTGAGTTAAAGTTAGTTGTGTGTTGAAGTGCAGGCGTTTGCAGAAGGTACATGACTACATCGGTGTTTCGTGTTTAGATAAATTGATATGAGTCACATTTTCCTTTTTTTTTAAATTTTTTAAATCTTATTGAAATCGAATAAACAAGTGACAATTTGTATTTAAAAGTACCAAATCCAGCTCGGTAAAGTCATTAGTGCTTTTTGTACTTTTGAGTCCTGTGACTTTCAGCCCTAAACCTTTTCATTCCTACATGTGTTTTTTTCAGCCTGAAGTTATCTTCAACAGCTGAGCTTTTCAGTTTTTAATAAAGGTTACTATTACACATTTCGGAATATATTATGCATTGGTTGGGCATATTGTGTTTTGCAACTTTTTTATGCTTGCATGTACAATGGAAGCTCAAAAGAGAGACATTAATAAGACCTGTATTCTTGCAGTAAAAACTGTCAATCTTTTATAATACAATGTTTGAACTGTGTTGTACTGTTTGTGTTTATGTGTTTCTGTCATTATTCATGTTTGTTGCAGACATGAGAACTCCAGTGGTTATTACCGCACCTCTGTGTACTTCCTGTCAAAGATCTTTGCCGACCTAATCCCAAACCGCATCATCCCCATCTTTGTGTTTTCAGCCATCGCCTACTACATGATGGGTAACTATCATTTATAAGTACTTACCACAAACACACATCAGACTGTCTCATGCAGAGGAGCAGACTCCCCTGAGGTTGCCAGTCTTTTCAGTGATCTTCTTTTGTCATTTTGCCCTGATGACTAAAGCCTCTTTCACACATGCGATCCAAAAAATGTCTAGAAGTTTCTAGAAATGTTCATGAGAGCATGGTTGGGATGGAGTTTATTGTCCACACTTGTCCAGCACAGTGTGAAATTTTCCTTGTTGAACGAAGGGGGTGGTGGGAAGGGAGCTGGGGATGAGTCTGGGGAGGAAGGACATGATGCCTAAAGCCAGTGGAAGTCCCAGTGCAATGTTTACAACATGATGGCTACTAAGACATACAACAACGCTCATAGGCGCGAGAGGGTGGGGGCTGAGGGCGGATTGTCAATGAGGGCCGGAACACATGCATTATGTAAAAATTAACTATTTTACAATAACTACTGTAAAAATATTTGTTTTTAAATTCTAACAACACATTGTTATAATTTATCAGAAAATCTGTTGAAAAATATGTGACAAATATGTGCCTATATAGTTAACTACTCTGAAATGAAAACTGCATCGTGTCACGTCAAAGTGTAAAAGGTCAACTGCAAGTCAGCGTATCTTTTTTTCTATCGTATCTATTTTTTTTAATTTTTGGGCTTTTGGGGCCTTATGGAGAGATAAGACAGTGTATAGAGTCAAAAATCAGGTAGAGAGAGTGGGGAACAACATGCGGATTCGAGCAACAGGCTGGATTCGAACCCGGGCCCACTTGGAGGACTATAACCTCTTTACATGGGGCACGTGCTCTAACCACTACAAAAAAATGTACCTACATGTGTGATACTGTCATGTGATATTTTATGGCCTGCAATACAGTTTTACAGCAGGCTTTTAATTAATTTACTTATGTGATGCACTTAAAGATTATTTTTGAAGAGTATTGGCTTCATCATGAGGGCTTCATGTTTTGAGACATAAAATCTAGATTACATAGAGATGCCTGATTCAATTTTTGGGAGTCTTCACAAGTTTATGCTCCTACTGTTGATCACTTTTTGTCTGAAACCTTGACCTCTCAAAAAAAGGTTTTACCTCTGAACCTTCACCGTTCAACCGGTAAAAGCTCTGGATTTCACAACAATACCAATTCTTATTTTGATATAGTATTTTTTCCTTCCATCTTTCAGGGTTGAAGCCTGCCTTTGTAGCCTTCATGTGTTTCGCCCTGACCATGTCTCTGGTCAGTCTGGCAGGAGTCGGGTTGGCCTTCCTCGTATCAGCTAGTGTGTCTTCATTTGCCATGGCTAACATTCTGATCGCTCTACCCTTTGTCTTCATGATGGTAAGATGCATAGTCACACAGATAAAATACATGACAGACTTCATGTTATGTACTATTAAATATGTAGTAGTATCTTTTCACAAGTGTAATAGTCATTATCTTCCATGTTTCCCCCTATAATAGGTCTTTGGAGGTTATCTTGTCAATCTAAACTCCATGCTGAGTTGGCTCTCCTGGCTAAAATGGATCAGTATCTTCAAATATGGACTGGATGTAAGATACGGAAAATAGGCAGAAAAGGCGCATTATGGTGTGGTTGTGAGATCATTCTGATAAAATCAGTACTGAGGAGGTTGTTTAGCTCAATCTCTTTTTGTTTCTCAGGCTGCATTCATCAACGAATTTAAAGGACAGCTGTTCTCCAGCAACACCACCATGTGAGTGCTGAACAGTGACACCGCTACTTGTTTAAATACAATCACACACATTCACACAAATTGAGTCTCTCTCTTCTGTGCTGCAGCATCCCAGGGGAGTTGTTCCTGAAAGGCCAGGGCATTGACTACTCCACATGGGGCTTCTGGCAGAACCAGGTAGCTCTGCTGGGAATCACTTTGGTCTGCATGTTCCTGTCCTACATACAGCTGCGTCGAATCAACCGCTGGAAGTGATTCCTGTCCATCTGTTCTTATATCCATTAATCAAGCACTATGTCTTTATCTAACTTATTTAACAGGCCTCAGATTAAACACATTGCATCATTAGGAGAACATTAAACTAGAGATGCATTGGGGTTTTTTTTATGTGTGCACAGGATTAGCTTTATTATGTGAATATTTAATTTATGATTCAATGTCAAAATTCCTTTATCTTCCTCTTTGTCTCTCTCTCTCTCTCTCTCTCTCTCTCTCTCTCTCTCTATCTCTCTCTATCTCATGCTAGCACACATAAACAAACACACGTGTTGTAACATTTGAGTCTCCGGAGGATTAGCTGCCGCAAAGCACACCTGGTGTGTGCACGAGGAGAGTGTAGGCGAAAGCAACCGTCAAGCTGACGTCTAAATCCTCTCTAAGCTCTTTAGAGTGAGTTAACATTAACTACAGTCAGGAAAAGATGTGCACAATCCACATGTTATCAGGAATATCTAAGCAAAACAGTTTTTAAAGGATAAAAGCCAGAGCATAAAGCTTTTCCCTTTTTATTCGTATTATGCAGAAACAGTGAAAAATTGTCGTTTCATATCCTTATTTGTTACAAACTTTATTTAAGATTTAAAAAATAATCTTGAAGTTTATCACAGTATGAGTGTAAAGTATTTAAATGCCTGCTGTAAAACTTTCTTGCAGGCCATAAAACATGTGACAGTATCATATATGTACTTTTTTTTGGCCAGCTTGTCAATGTTTTGTGTGTAGTTATATTAAGGAAAATAATCTGGTAATCAACAAGAATTCCATGAATATTATTGCATTAAAAGGAAATATTATGTACAGTATGTCATGTGAAACTTCATACACAAATCTTTCACAAAACAATCATCATATGTGCAATCTTTAGGATCTTCTCTAGAACTTCAGATGAAGTTCTGTTTTGTGTTGGAATAATGCTGGTTGCACAGCTCTGTATCATATTTAACTTCTGATCCATGTTTATTATGTTACGTTAAAGGACAGTGTCAAACTGCAGTTGTTTTCCTTGGTGTCAGCCCTATCAGGCAACATCATCAGGAAGAGTTTTCTTTCCCAGTGCTTTTCAAGAAATCAGCTGATAAAGACTTCTATTTGCACATATTGAACAGTGAAAAATAATCTTATCAGCACGTTTGAGATGTGAGATTCCTAAAAACCTCTCTCATCCCAACATGTTTAAAAGAGAAAATAGATGTTCAATAAGTTACTCAAAATACGTTTCAGTGGTTCTTGCAGGAGAAGTTTTTTGTATGCATTTCTACTTTGAAGTGGAATAGTTTGAATGTCCTATAGTTAAGTTGTAATGTTCAACTTTTGATAAGGGACAGAAAAAAAAACATCTTCTGTATGTGTGTTTAAATGTACACAGCACAGTTTTCCTCCCACTTAAAGCAGATTAATCAAATAAAAAAGCAGGACAATAACATTTTGAGGAGCTTTGTGAACTCCTCTTTTAGCTCAATATAAGCTCTTTTAACAAAAGTATAAAATCTGATTAACTGAATCAAGAATTAGCAAGATGAACACAGAGCACCGTGAGAAATGAAACACAAGAAATTATTCAAACAACGCCCAGCCAACACAAAACTGCCCTTCCTTTTCAGGTTGGACAATTATTCCTTTATTGAGCAGAACTTATTATTCTACATTCAAAATGTTTTCACCCCGCTTGCACTCTTACTCTGACTGTTTCCAACAGTCACCGGTGAATTCTCCAGCCCGCGGAGCCACTCTGTGCACTTCAGCACCACACGCTCATCAACACCGTAGTCCTCTTCCTCCTCATACTCCACATCATCGTACTTGTGTTTCTCATTCAGCAGTGAGATTTTCACAAACGAGCTGATGTCTGCCAGCTCTGTATCACTGTTGTTTTTAGTTACGACTCTGTTGTTTAGGGTGCTGTGTCTCTGCGTGGCCTGCTGATGCCTTTTAGAGACGTTTTCCCTCCTGCGTCTGGATTCTGAGGCGCTTCCAGAAACGCTCCCAGCATTCCTAGAAGCTAAATGTTGACGTCTCTCGCTGTTCCTCCTCTGTAGCAGCAGAACAGCCTCAGGTGTGAGAGTCAGTGTGAAACGGGCCTCCTCCTGGTGCCTGACCCTCGTCTTCACCTCTGGTTCACTCTTTAGAGAGCCCTGGCTCATATGTCTGTGCTGCTGTGGTTTAGAGAGGGATTCCCCCGAGCTGGAGGCAGGGACACTGTCTGTCTGTGATGAAGGCATCAGTCGGTCCCTTCTCTTTGCATGCAGCTCTGCTCCTGATACTCCTTTGGATGTTTGCAAATTATTCCTGGGTGGACTCTTCTTCCCTAGCTGCTTTAAGTTCGAAGTCAGTCTCTCCTTCACTGAGCTGCCTTTGTCTTCTCTTTGGATTTTCGACTTTCCCAAAGTAGACGTAGCTGAAGAGTTGTTGATATGTTTCTCCTTCCCAGTCAGTCCTGACACGGAGCGACCAATCGACACAGGTGGGATGAATGGCATTTTGGCAATACACAGTATCAAATAGGAAAGAATCTCTGTTTTTCGTTTGAATTGATTAAAGAAAAGAGATGAAGAAGAGAGCGCTAAGGAGGAAAATGATTCACTGGAGAAATCCTCTGGTGCATCCTCCTCCATGCAGGGGTCAGCTGTGTGTTGCTGCTGCTGGGATTGCAATGGTGCTCATGAACCCTGGAATAGCAGGAAGCTTATACCTGAGAGGCTGGAGGGCGGGGCATGGCACGCTGCAAAAGGCGTGTACAACCTCAAGATCTGAAGGCTCAAAGATCTAAAATAAACACGCATTTCTAATCCTCCGCACACACAGTGAAAGAGCACATGCACCTTAATCCATACAGACTGTAATCATGACTAGAGAGAAAGTCAGGTGACAATCACCGTTAGTGTACTGAAAGATCGAAGAAGCAATAGGAAACCTGATCTGATTTAAGCATCAAATTTCATTCTTGACCTTGAATCTAGTTGTGTGACGAATCAATAAATCAATTACTGAGGTCCTAATACTAGCTTTCCCAAAGCATTGCTCTCATTTGTTATAGGGAATTAAAAATACAGAAACAAAGACAAACAGAAACAGAACGCAAAACACAGCGGCACAGCACCTCCTGCTGCCTAACACAGCACAACATGTTTGCTATCTATTGGTCCCGACAAGCTACAGAAGCTACCCAAGATTTCAGTATATTTTGACCTTGAGTCTTTCAGTTTTGCCAACATTATATGAAGCTGAAACTGGAACATCTTTATACCTTGTTGTAGGACTTTCTCCATTTTCATTACTAATCAGTAGTCAGTATCTTGTAATCTACGTTTTCCAGACTAATTAGTCAAAAGCCACTTTGCTCATAAGGGTCCCTGATTTTTTCACCAGTACAGTAATCACTGTATCTTTAAATGTTGTTGGCACCTGACCTTCTGCCAATGCTTCTGTAAACACCTCAGTTAAAATGGGCTCGACTACTTTAATGATCTTCTACAAAATTATTTACCTACTGGCGCATCAAACATTTCCACCAGGGAAACCAACGGAAGATCTATTAGGAAAAAAACTCCTGACATTGGCTTTCATGTACCATGTCTCTGACATACATGTAAGTAATAATTTTGAAAGACCAAGATTTACACATTGTCTGTCAAAACTTCTGACCTAAATCATCAAGTGCTGGGATTAAAAAACTGGCATCTTTACTTTTCAGCAGTCTTTCAATTGTACTTTTTAAATTTAAAAAAATGCACCCCTCCTACAGTGTGTGCCAATCAAGGCAAGAGCTATTCAGATAAGTTGGTTTTTTTTTGCACTATAGGCTGAAAACATGTGTATTTCTGCTGTAAGAACGGGCTTTTTTGAATTGGGTGTGTATATGACTTCTGGTGGTCATATATATTATCCTCCCTTTCAACCAGTAAAAATAAATCTCAGAGCTCCCCAAAACATGTGTGTGAAGTTTCTTGTTATAAATCCACTCTGATCCTATATTTTATCATGCCTATAAACCCCTTAATGTCAGCCCTGTTCAGAACAGGCTGTTTCTGTATAGCTTTAAATACAAATGAGCTGTGTCTGACCACGCCCCTCTCTGAAAGGTGAGAAGGCAGACTCAGAGGGCAGAACAAACACCAAGCTGTGGGAGTATCACCCACTTGGGTGAGAGGTTACTGCCCTTTGTGATGTCATGAATGGAAAATCTCCAAATGGCCTGTTTGAGCACACAAGTGGAGCAGGTAAAAGATGGAGAGAGAATGGACTTTTCTCATAATTAGGGGATTTAAGGACAGACTAGGGACACATTTTAATCTGGTCAAGTGTATTTTACACAATATGGGACCTCTAAGTGAAAACTCGACAAACGGCAGTATTTTGCACTTCCACAGTGGCTATATTTTTTAACACTGGTAACCGCTTGGGGACAATGCAATTTTTCCCTTTAAAAAAATGAATGCATTAATTTCAGACCTTAATCATGATTAACTATAGTTAACACTGACAGCCCTACTAATATACCTTAAATTTATTTTTTTCTAAATTCATACAATTCTTAATTGACATTCCATTGGGCAACCCTATACTGTAAAATGACAAATGAACTACATTGTTTCTGTGATAAAAACAAACTAACAAACTACACATGTCCATTTTTCATATTCGCCATAAAATGTGAGATATTGCCATAGAAAGATTTATTTGAATGGTTTTGTTACAAAACATGATTAAAATAAAGTTAAAAATCTCAGATTTGTATATTCTGGGAACTAATAAGTTTCTACATATTATTTATTTAGACATATAAATCCTAATACTTGTGTCATTCTGACTGACTTTGAAACAGGCATGCACAGATTTTACTGCAATAATTAGTTTGAACTTTTTGCTACTATGAGAAGACACATTAGATCGACTCATTTGTGTTCATTCACAGCACGTCTTCTTGTGTACATGAAGGACCCGTCGACAGCGAGGACATGTGTGATATGTGTGATGTGGCGTCCTTGAAATGGTTAACAAAAAATGGAATCAGGCAGCATCCAAACAGCAACCTGTGAGACAGATAAAACACATCAGTCTTTGCCTTATGAGTGAGCGCGCGAGTGTGTGTGTGTGTGTGTGTGTGTGTGTGTGTGTGTGTGTGTGTGTGTGTGAGCGTGTGTGTGTGTGTGTCTTTGAAGCTTAGTAATAAGATTAAACAGATAAAGCAGTTTGAATGAGTCCGTTCTCACACATGAGCCACGTGTGAATATTAACTTTAAAGGTGACCTGAGTGGTGATTTCTGAGTCTGACAGGATGGGCAGGTTGTCAGAGCTGGGTAGCGATACAGATGAGTTTCATAGCTCACAAACTTTGGTCTGGGAGTAGAGGGAGGGAGAGCAGACTCTAGAGAAAAGACATGAGGGTATGAAAAGATTCATGTATTTTCAAATAACATCCCTGCAAAAAACAAACAAAAAACACTTGTTAAAATAGCAACCTAACAGTTGAAGTCCTTTTCATATGTGGTCAGCATTGTTTCATATTTTTAAATAGAAAAGCATTAGGAACAAAAACATACTTTTTTTTAACCTAACTAAGGAAAAAAAAAATCATAATGTTTATGAATATTGTAATTTATTTGTTGTATGTTATCCTGGTCAATGAAGACAGAGAAACTACCATTTAATAGTGTCATTTAATCAGTGTTTAAAATGTACAACAATCACACCTCACTCTACTTTTGGGCAGTAGAACTACTGACTGACTGAAAATCAACACTTAAATAGCAGATTTTACAGAAAATACTTGAACCTAAAGGGAAGAAAAATCTAAAAATTCAGGCCCACTGTAAAATGAAATATAGATAATGAGCCCCTACCCCGTACAGGTGTGTTGTTTTGGGTGGAGCAGCCAACTCCAGGAGAAAATTAGAAGGAAGGAGGTGGTGCAGAGGTTTATGGTGAGTGAATGTGGTATATTCTCACATCTTGGCCTGTTGGATCTGGGAAAAAGAAAACAAAAACGTTTATTTTTAACCATGAAAATGCATACCTTTCAGTCAACAGAGAAGGTTGGATGGGTATTTTACCTGGTAAGAAGTAAGGTGGAGGTGTAGGAAATGGCTCATCGAGCTTTGATAGTGACTCCATTATAAAAATTAGTGTCAAAACCACCAAAAAAAGAGTCAAATCGGATTGTATTTTTGCGTCTGCAGCCAGCAGCGGTTCGCATGTAGGTCCACCAGGTGCAATGAAGAGGAACTAATTGCTATCTTCTCTGATTGGTTCAAGATTGTATTACCCATAAATGACTGCCTTGGTGGCCTTTAAAAACAGATCTGATGGACGTGACTATTCGAAAATAGTTGCAAACTGTGGCCACATTAGTTAGGCCTATGCATACTGCTGAAGTAACTTGCATTTTTCGGACTCCCAATCTCAATGTGTAATGTGTTCGTAGGCTACTGAGGCAAAACAAATACATGACAGGATCTAGCTTGTACAATGTCCTATAACAATTAAAAATCTTGCCACTTCTATAATTTGAATTGGCATTTGTGACTTCAGTGGTACTTTCAAAAGGAAGGGGACATTGCTACTTTATCATATTGTAGAAGTGCATAGTCCCATGTCTGCAAACAAGAAAACAAACAATCGGTACACAATAAACCATCTGTAGTGGCTATTTGTCCAAAAAACAACAAACAAATGTAAATAAACTACTATCAAAAATAATCAAATGACCACTGATGCACCATGGGGATGTAATGTACGCAGGCAAAAGAAATCCAATGTCCATGCAAGAGCTGCGGTATTTTGCTGGTTTATTTGAGGAAAACAAACAAAATAACAAAGAAAATCGTGGCTCCCGCTGCCTCTCTTGACCTGGTAAAAAACAATAGGCCCACCCAGGTGCATGCGGGTCCTCCACCTGCCTCTTACTTAAATAATCTCCAGTACCCACAGTATTACCCAAATATCTAACAAAAATACTAATACAAAACTAAATTTACTAAACAAATAACTAACAAAAAAGAAAACGTTACCCAAAATCTTTTCTCAATAAAGAAAACATGTAGAATAATTAAATAAACAACAACACCCAAATATTAGTAAACTAAATACAAAAACTAATTTTAACCCCAATTAAATAGCTCCAACACCATCTATAAAGGTGTGGCTTTGTGTGCCCCCCTGGGTGGCCTATCTACTGCCCTCCATGGCCCGAGCCGATACTGCCCTGCTGATTTTGTCCACAGATATTACTTATATACACTACATCAGGGATGGGCAACTTTGGTGACAGCAAGGACCACATTAATTTAATTCTCAGGGCCAGAGGGGCCAAATTGTAGTATACAAAAACGATTACAGTCAATAATGTCTCAAATTTAACTCAAACATATACCAGTGATCAAATATTATTATGGACACATTTCTGGTTTTCATGAATTCATGGCAGATTTTGTCATGTTTTTCTTCATGTTTCCAATTCATTGATATGTAAAAAAAAAAAAATTGACCGAGGGGCCACGTTGAGAGTATGATGGAGGCCGCATGTGGCCCCACGGGCCGCAGGTTGCCCACCCATCCACTAGATGGTGGTGTGGTTGTTTGTCGACTGGTTTTGGGTGTTTCTATCATTTGAACCACTAGAGGAGCTCTTTTCTTTCGTGCTCGATGTTGTCCGAGACTTCGATTGTGGATTCTCAGTTGAATGTATCGGCTTAAGCGGGATGATGCTAAGCTAGCTGTCAGCCAGGCATCCATCCACGGGGTTTCGCCGCCGAGTTAAGCTGCCGGATGCTCCCGGCCGTATCCTGCTACTGGCCGCCCGTCTTGACATTCCCTCAGCATTCCCGGATCGAATTCGTGTCGACTGCCCAGAGTCCGCGAATTCAAGGTCCACTCCTGATCCAACCCTTCCCCCGCTAGCGTAGCATAGCTCGCCGGATAACGAGAGAAGCGGACCGACGAGGTGAGTTAGCACCGGAGACGCTATCGGTGCAAAGTAAAGGCAACTCTTCTAAGGAAACACCGGGGCCTGATGTAACAGGGAGGCCTTCCCGCAAATGCGCGGATAGCAACACGTCTATATACTGCCAATGTGACAGGCCCGTCAAATACCGGCGAGCCTGGGAACTGAAGCAGTAATGTAATGCTCGTTTTTACCGAGTGTGGAGACTAAATCTAGTTATTGTGGGTCAGCTAAGAAACTCAACTACGTTATACACAAGTTCCCAGTAAATAATGTGATGACTCGGGTGTTATTGTAATGAATCTAAAGTGTAACCCTGTTTTCCCATCAAACAGGCTTCGTAGTGTCGTGTTTTTTTTCTTTCTCCACGCCTGTTAAAGTGTAGTTTACAGCCGACAGTAGCAAAGTTCAGCTCGTCGCTAAACTTAAGTTTTACTGTGTGACTTTGCAGAGTTTCTCTTAGAAGACCACACCCCAGACAAACATGTCCCTTCATCAGTTTCTGTTGGAGCCCATCACCTGCCACGCGTGGAACCGTGACAGGACACGTAAGGATAACAAAATATATATTTCCTCCTTATTTGAATACTACCAACTTGCACACTACTACTACTACTACTAGTAGTAGTCTTCTTAGTGTTATATAAATGCTCTTTTTTTTTTAATGCAATGAAAAGAAAATGATTATTTGCAGGATAGTTTGAATTTTACTTCAATGTTTACGTGGATTAGTTCAACTTGTATTCAGCAGAATCCAAAACAGGGCTTGCATGTTTTTTTTGTGTGTAGCTTTTTTAATCCTATTAACCTGCACATCTTGGTCTTTTTCTTTTTTTTTTTGTAATAGAAATTGCCATCAGTCCAAATAACCATGAAGTCCATATCTACAAGAAGAGTGGTAATCAGTGGGTTAAGACTCATGAGCTGAAGGAGCACAATGGACACATAACAGGTACTCTCCAAGTGAATAATGTAATGTATCGCTTCTCTGTGTTTCTATGACTAACCCTCCCACATACAAATTAAGTGTGTACAAAACTGTCATTGTCAAAAGGAAATGTATGTTTTAATACACTCATGGATTCTTACTGATCCCCTTTAAAGTGAATTCATCTCATGAATGTGCTGTTCAGATTAACATCATGATTATTGCTATGATCAGTTTGTGATTACACCTCCTTTTTATTCTATTTGTAGGTATTGACTGGGCTCCCAAAAGTGACCGTATAGTGACATGTGGAGCCGACCGTAATGCCTATGTGTGGTCCCAGAAGGAGGACGTATGGAAGCCTACACTTGTCATCCTCAGGATCAACCGAGCTGCCACCTTCGTCAAGTGGTCTCCATTGGAGAACAAGTTTGCAGTTGGCAGTGGGGCTCGACTCATCTCTGTTTGCTACTTTGAGTCTGAGAATGACTGGTGAGACTTTCTTGTAAAATCCTGAAAAACAATAGTCAAATCATTATAGCCAAATGGTATTTCTTATTGGTTTTTCTTAACTTTGTGATTGGAAGTTTTAACCAGTTATATTTGTACTTAATTATTCAAATGCTATATTGCAGTCAGCGGTATTTAAACATGGATTTGTGTCCTTATGTGACAGTCACAGTATTATCTTATTCATTACATAGGGAAAGAGGGAAACCGTAAAGTTGTCTTGTTGTCACCCGGGTTGAAACAAACATACCAAATGACTGATTAAGATCCAATCCAGCATTTTCTTCTCAAGCACCGGGCCAATCTGTTGTGGTTTACTGTGTTCCTTTATGCTGTTTTTTTTTTTCAGAAGTCTTAATCATTTATAATTTTTTTATTAGTTTGTGTGTTAGTTTGTAGAAAACCAAAAAGTTCAGTTTTCTTGAGCTATACTAATAAGTTATTGTTTTTGCCCATTTGAATCATGACATTAACAGATCATTGAATTCATACCTAAATATGAGGTAGAAGTCTTGTGTTAAAAAAAAAAGATATTACATATTAAAGACGTCCTTTTTTAAATCCATCAGGTGGGTTAGCAAACACATCAAGAAGCCTATCCGCTCCACCATCCTCAGTCTGGACTGGCATCCCAACAACATCCTGCTGGCTGCTGGATCCTGTGACTTCAAATGCCGGTGAATTTCATTATCTGTGAACTTAACTAGAGATTCTTATTGAAACTAAGATGAGGATTTAGTGATTGAAAACATGCCATCACACTCTCTCTCTTTTGCGTCCTGTTCTGATTTTCTCTTCTTTTTTCTTTTTTTTTGCTTTAACTCTTCTCACCCATCCCCCTCCCCTTCTGGCCTCAAGGGTGTTCTCAGCCTACATTAAGGAGGTGGAAGAGAAACCAGGCCCCACACCCTGGGGCAGCAAGATGCCATTTGGGGCTGTGTTAGCAGAATTTGGAGGAGCGGGTCTGTATCTGTGTCTTTTATGTGATGGTAAAAAAGCTCTTGTGCTAGATCTGCTTTTTAATGCACTTGTGTCCATTAGGTGGAGGGGGTTGGGTCCACTCTGTCTCTTTCTCAGCCTCTGGTAACCGCTTGGCCTGGGTCAGCCACGACAGCACTGTCACTGTAGTGGACAGCTCTAAGACTTCCAGGTATGTTCGTGCTTAACAAAGAGGGATCTTTTGAATGGTTGTAGAATAGAATAATACTGGATTGGACTAGTCTTTGAAACACACTAACGTTATGTTCACATACAGCATCACTTACCAAAAGAAACTGTGTGCGTCTTGTAACAAATACTTTAGGAAAATTATCTTAGTTTCATAATACATTTCAATGTCTGTAGAATCTGCATTCCTGCATTACAGTAATTGTTGTGTTATTGCCATCTGAAGATTAGTGGAAAAGTTTTATAGAAATGTGTTATGTGACAGGCATCTTAACACCAACCCTGGGTTAGATTCAGACTCTCAGCCCTTAGTTTCATGTCAACCCCAGTGTCCTTTCTCCTCATATCATGACTCTTAAAACTGTCCACTTAAGCAAAGGCCAGCAAAAAGGGATTATGTGCATTTCTTTCTTCTTTACATGAGTTTGAAAAGAAAAACAGACAACCACACAAAGTGTTACGTTATGTATTTAATTAATCTGTTTCTATATGCCACATGAAGAACGGTTTCAAATGTATCGTAAATGCCCAAATCTCATTTGTTAATAATCAATCGTATTTTGGTATCATGTTTAAAATTCTGCATTTGTGTACAAACACAGAAACACTTGATGTAAATTGAGTTGCCGGTTTTAACGAGGTAGGGAGATGAAGCTTAAGCTGAAATCAGAGTCAAAAAAGATTGACATGGCTGATGACTAATTTGTTTTGTATTTATTCATGAATAAAAAGAGCACAAAGAACTGGAATGGGCAGCTTTTTCCTTTTTGCTTTCTCAACCCAGAAAAGGAGAGCTAATCTCCAAGACCAAACATGGAGAGTGAATAGAAGGATTATCAAATTAACAGAGGTGTAGATATGAGGAGATGAATTCATACCAATATCCAAAAATGTAGTAATCTCTTACACTAATTATAATCTTCTCCCACGTATACGTCAGAAGGTAATAACTTGCATGTAGAACAACCAAAATTTCACCAAATAAAATTTTTTCATTGAAAGGAAATGCATTGGGATTTAGTTTCTATATTATAGCCTTTGTGAATAAGTATTGATTTTTAATAAAACCTTGTGGCAAAAAGGATTAAAACGTAAAGACTAGGTGAACCGAATCTTTGGCTACATACATAATAACCTGCGGTTGTTAACAAATCACAGGTGACGTGTACTGCATGAGAGGTTAATTGAAGGATTAAAGGTTCTGAATGGAAATATGCACATCAAACAGTACTGAAAGCAAAGTCATTTTTTAGCCAAACTTTTTTGGGATTCTGAAAGCTGGAAAGCTGTACATTATGACAATATGACTGTCAGGATTGTGACTCATTTGGTCTTGTGTTTGTACATTCAGCCCTTCACAGCTGAAGACGGAGTTCCTTCCTCTTCTCAGTGTCATTTTTGTTTCGGAGAACAGTCTTGTAGCTGCGGTAAGAAAAAGACCTACACATGATGATTTGTTTCCATGGTCAAATGCTCAGTTAGTAACTATTTGAGTCCTGCGTTCTGCTTCTTCAGGGCCATGACTGTTGCCCCATGCTGTTCCGTTGCGATGATGGTGGAATACTGACATTTGTATCAAAGCTCGACCTCCCCAAGCAGAGCATTCAGAGGAACATCTCTGCTATGGAGCGCTTCAGGAACATGGATAAGAGAGCCACCACCGAGGACCGCAACACTGCCCTGGACACATTGCACCAGAATAGCATCACGTAAGTCACGCTAACTAGGATCATTGCAGGGGAGTACCTGAAATGTAGCTCAAGAGAAAAATGTTTTTCTTTTCAATGTATTATTTAAAAAAAAAAGATATGTGATAAGAGTTTTCACAATTGTGCAGTTGATTCATTTGTGTCCCAAAGACTGCCTTTATTAAGTAAAATTAAATAACTGTGGCCGGATGTTATTTTAGCCTGTTACATAGATGCTGTATTGTATAAAAAGAATGTATCCTATTTGTCTTCTCCTTTAAAAATTGACAATTTAAACGACAATCAACTGCTTAAAACTAAGTGCCATACCATAATACTTTAAAAACGTTTTTAAATCGTTGGGCCACTTGTTTAGCACGATTGGTGGAGTAGGCACGCTATACATAGAGGCTCCAGTACTTGATCAATTGGACATGAGTTTGACTCTCCTACCTTCTATGTCTCTAGTCAGCTGTTCTTACAATAAAGGAAAAAAATACCTAAAAAATATCTTTCAGAAAAAGCTTTTAAAATATTATTTTCATTGAAAGCTGCTGTGCTACAGGTTCTAAACATGTACAACAGGGGCATATATGATAAATCTGTCCTGAGCTGATATTTATTGCAAGAAACCGTTTTCTTGTCCCCATGCTGGTCAACAGTTTTGTTGATGATCATTTTTGCTTTTGTTTTTTATTCTATCATTTGTTTGTGTTTCGTTTGTTTGTTTCTTGCTATAGTTTGGAGTGTTTGTTACTATTACTTTCATGCCTGTTTTGAAGTTGTGAAGCTACAGGTAGAAGCTGCGTGGTTATGGTTTAAAGATTAAACCTTATTTTGCTCACTTAAAATGGTCCTTATGTATTTACTTATTTCTCTTCAGCCAAGTGTCTATCTATGAAGGAGACAAAAGGGATTGTCGCAAGTTCTGCACCACAGGAATTGATGGAGCAATGACCATTTGGGACTTTAAGGTACATGGACATGTAGACACAGACACACACGCACATTTCATAAAACCTCCTTAGAGATTCACTTGCTCAGTTCTTACTCTTCTATGTGTTTGTGTTTCCTACTCAGAGTCTAGAGGCTTCTATCCAAGGTCTCCGCATCATGTGAAGGAAACCTGTGAATGACTGAAGAGACGCTGCAGGCTCACTTCTCCTCCCAGCCCCCTCCCTACCACCCCTCCCTCCTAAACCCCTCTGTTCCTGCAACGCAGCCAGTAACAAGCATAACTGACCACCTTATCAAGTGTCTGCTGAAGCACTGATCAGACCTTAACACATTCTTCTGGGTGTATGAAAACACTTTCAAACATACACTAAAGTAAACAAGCGCACACACACACACACACACACACACACTCACACACATACACTGAGCTGACGTGTGACATCACTGTTGATTTTTTTTTTTGTTTGTTTTTAAATGAAGGTTAACCAGGTGTCAAAGTGAGAAGGTCCTCTGACACGTATTAAAACGTGAAGTGAAATGTGTGTTTTTATGTTCTCTAACCTCCTGTACCAAAAGTTGAACACTAAAAGGTGCGTTTTATCAAAAAGTCTGACTGCATTTCTCTACAGCTTAACCTGAACATGATCTCTGAAAATTAATATTTAGTAGAGTGGAGGATGGGATGTTTTACTTCTTGAAGTTTATTCTCAAGCAGGTAAACTCATGTTTAGATTTGGACAAGGTTTTTTCTGTTTCGAGGTCATGTTGCTGGTTAGCTGTAGGGAGCTGTACTGGATCTGATGGTGAAGAGAGAAAGCAGCTGCCTGAACTCTGCGGAGTCACGGCTCTCCAGCACGAGGTTCTGAAGCTTCTTCACTTAAACCACAAAAGATGGAGGATTTCTATGTAACTGATCATGAGGTAGACATGAAATAAAGATGAAATACATTTACAGTACACTAACTCCTGGACTGCTCTCTTCCTTTGTCTTTGACTCTCACACAAAGAAGGTGGGTAGTAGCTGTATATCTGTGGGGACTTCGCAGTACTGGAGTTGCTTTTATTTTTATTTTTTTCTGTTAAATATCTGCCAGCAATATTATGTTTGATATTGTATCATTTTTATTTAGCAGGAAGTAGTTGGAGCAACCTGTAGATTCAGCCACAGTTAAAGTTGTTTGATTTATTAAACATAAGATGAAAATGATTGTGTGCCAGTCTGAGCACATGAAGTAGAAACCCTTTATTTGTAGACTTAATTGTTTCTAGCTTATTAGAGTATCGGTTGCATTTTGTACAAAGGCAAATAGTTGCAAAGAAAAGTCTTGAATTGTCACACAAGCAGCTCTGTAGGGACTGCCATGTGCTTTAAACGTAATGTTAACATCAGCATGCGAACATGCTTACAATGACAATGCTAGTATACAATATAAGGTCATACACATTCCTGCTTATTACAAAAATATCAGTGAACAGACTAAAGCTAAGGTACTGGCGTTCCCTTTGCTTGTATTTCGGACCGTTCACATGTACATTTGAATTTCAAGTCCAATGTTCAGCTGGTTTCATAGTTCTTATAATATTTAAGTTTTGACCGAAGTTGCCACCAAAGAACAAACCAATAAATGAATAAAAACATGGCCATGACTGTGTGTCACCTATACATAAGGTTATAGTTATTCACGTAGATAAATGTCTCAATGAGGCCTCTGTCTCCTCATACAAACAGATATGTCATTCTCTCTTTTTATTTCATGAACATGTACAAATAAATCCTTTTGTAAAAAATAAAAAAACAGGGTCACCATTTACAGATGCTGTAGAGAAGAGTGAGAAAACAAAAGACTTTAAGCCTTTGCTGTGTAGTTCCTCATGCCCCCCCTCTAAAAATAAAATAGAGAACTAACACCAGAGTCTTCCCCTTCAGTGTGTAGAGTTACATTTTTGAACAAATGAGAACAAATGTATACTGGCAGAGATATAAAAGAGTCTAGCCTGAAACAACATAAAGTACTAATTTAAAGTTAAAATAAACAGGACAGTTTGGATATCTGATTATTTGGGATATCTGAGCTTCTTAAATTTAGCAAATGTAAACTCATAATACATGAAATACTTGGGTAAATCTATTACATATTCATTTTTTTTCCTCTGTAAGCCTCTTTCTTCCTCTTTCTTCAGTTCACTTTTCCTCCCTCCCCTTTTTCTTGTTCCTCTTTCTTTATGCAAAAGCGGCCAGGAGTCCCTCCCCCTTTCTTCTCTGTCTTTTATGCTTTTCTGTCTTTTCTACTCCCCCTCGGTTCTACGTCCTCCTTTTCGCAGAACATTACAAGGTTTCCATGCTCCTCCCTCTTTGCTTCTGGAGCAGAAAAACTTCACCTCTTTTCCCCTCTGTTTCTGTAAAAAAAAAAAAAAAAGGAAAGAAAAGTTTGCTCCAGTTCCTCAGCATTTTTTGAAATGTTACACCCACAATTTTTCCTTCCTGCAGCATAAGCCCACTCAGACTTCCTGTATTTCTCCCCGTCTACCCCTCACTGTACCCTCCTGCACCTCCCCGTCTGACCTCTCCTCCCTCTCTACAGCTCAGCTTCTCTTCCTGAGCTCACTCTGTCGTTAGCGTTCGCGTTGACTGGCCAGAGTCCGCGAGCTGAGCACCACCACCTCATCTTTGCCTGATCTGCCACCTTCCTCTGCCTCTCCCTTTGTCCCCTCTCTCTCTCTCTCTCTGTCACTGCAGCTACTCACACATTCTTCTCTGTCCAGCCCTCAGGGTAAGTAGCCTAGAAAATATTTAACAGTTGACTGAGTCTGCTCAGACATGACGCACACTCTCACTTTGTGCAACAGGCAACAAAGTCCTCACACAAAGTCACTCAGAGTGTGGAGCATGGATGTTATTGTGTAGAGTAGCTTTTGAATACGATCTGGGATTTTAGTCTTTACTTCCTGGAGTTGTGCTCTAGATGTTAAGTTTTGTTTGGGGTAATGTCTATAAACCTTGACCTGCATCATTCCTTTCAATCCCCTGAAAGTCTGGATTTCATTAACACAGCCTGAGATAGGTTCAGTGGGTTTTTCTGTGCACAAAAAGACAAAATCACTGGATGGTTTAACTTCTTAAACTACTTAATACGTAATAGTTGGGACCAACTCTCTTAAAATCTTAAAATGTTGTGATACTTAAAATCTTAAAATGCTGTGATACTTAAAATCTTAAAATGTTATCATAGTTTGTAATTTTTTTTGTATAATGTCTTCCTCACAACAACACTTTTGTAACTTCTGTTATTTTCCAGACCTGACTGTTATCTCGCAGCCCACCCGCCGCTGGTTCCTCACACCGCTTCCTGATCCTCGTTCTAACTTCTGATTGGCCATGGCGTACCATAGCTTCCTGTTGGAACCAATTAGCTGCCATGCCTGGAACAAAGATCGGACCCGTGAGTCTGCTCTTCTTCTCGGATTGGTCGCTCAGGCCTTCTGTTTCAGTGATTTTAAGTCTCTTTTTTTTTTAAACAGTTTTGATTAAGGACATGGAACATCTTGCTACACCGAGAGGCAGGGCCAAAAAAACAAGTAGTGTAGTCGTTGGAGGTTTTTGATTGGCTCTAAGTTGGGAGAAGGTATTTCCTGTTTCCTGTAACAGGGTCTGAGGGCCTTCTGAGAGGCTCTTGTGCTCCACTGTAGGAAACTTAAACCATATTTGGCTGTGTTGATAGGCACTTTGGTTTCTGGGTAGAGCGGATGTTACAGGCGGCTGTGGTCGAGTCATTGAGTCATACGATTGTAGTTTCACTTAAACTTGCAAGCTGTACACTTCAGTTGACTCTGTTAGCAGGCGGAAAAAAAAAGCACAGTGCTGCACTCACACAAACACAGCGTCTGATTCATCTGCTGACTAAAACATGTGCAGGGTTTGCTACAACACCATGGGAAGGAAGGTCATTGTCTATTTGTGTTTGCTGCCTGCAGGCTGATACATACTGTATTTCTTTATCTTTCTCTGTTGTCATGCACTCAGTCAGTTGCTCTGTATTCTGCTCCACTGTTCTACCAAACATGAACTTCAATCACTATTTACTTTGTCCTCACACTGATGCATTTTCTGTCTGAAAGTTTCACTGTTTTCTATTTTATTTCTTATGCATCGTGTACCTTCTTTTGTGCCTCAGAGATTGCCCTGTGCCCAAACGACCATGAGGTTCACATCTACAAGAAGGATGGGACCAAGTGGAACAAGATCCATGAGCTGAAGGAGCACAATGGACAGGTGACAGGTGAGATGTTGTATGATCTTGTATTTATCAATTAGTACATCATTTGAATTTGTTTCCAAAAGGTTAAGAAGTTCCACATTTTTTGGAGTTCTTGCTACCTGTCAAGTAGGAGGTATTTTGGTATTTGAAACAAACTATTTTTCAGATAATGAACACTTCATTGATGCAAAAACGGCTAAATCGGGACTTGTCATTCAATTCTGGCTTGTATGACCAGTTGTGCTTGATTTAAAAGGTGAAGGATTTAAAGATATTTTGGAAGAGAATTATAAAATATAAAAAATAAAATGAAACGGCAAGCATGGCTCTGTCCACAAAATCCACCTAATATCTTTCCTAAAGTGTATTCAATTGAAAAGTTCAATTTTCTTTTCTGAATGAAAACAAAATCAGAATAAAAAATATGAAATGGGGTTCTTTTATTGATAACTGTCAAGCTATTTGATGATGGTTGCACGGACAGCCCAGGGCGTGTGCCGATCTCAGCATCCTCACAAAGAGGAGAAGATTCCAGGCAGGCCGTTTCACACAGGTTCATTCATTGTGCCAATATTATTTAACCATATGAGGATACAGACATCAAAGTAGACCTTAAACACATTCAATAACTTCCTTCTTACTTTTTAAAAATAGAGATTACGTGCCTGTCTCATTTCCTTTTGTTTCCCCCCCCTTTTTTTTTATGTTTTAAGATGTTTTTCATTTTCACTTTTAATGTACTATTGTACCTTGTTTTTGAAAAAAAACTCTAAATGTATATATGTTATATCATGTGTGTTACAACTCTTGTTGTAACTCGTGGCTAGAAATGTAATTATCATTTCCTAAAACTTGTAACCAATCTTTTTTTTTTGTCGATCATAATGCTGCAGAGAGGGAGAATATCACTAAGAGTGTCTTTCTGCTGCAGGTATTGACTGGGCTCCAGACAGTAACCGTATAGTTACTTGTGGAGCTGACCGTAATGCCTATGTGTGGACCCTAAAAGAGGGTGCCTGGAAACCCACCCTTGTCATCCTCAGGATTAATCGCGCTGCTCGCTGTGTTAAGTGGTCGCCACGAGAGAACAAGTTTGCTGTAGGCAGCGGCTCTCGTCTCATCTCCATCTGCTACTTTGAGCAGGAAAACGACTGGTGAGGTTCTTGGCAGATTGCTTCATTCCACAAATTAACATAAAGAGATGCATGTGTGCCTCATAAACCACACATTTTGGAGCTTTTATTATGCTGTGTTGTTGCCGTTAGGTGGGTGTGTAAGCACATCAAGAAGCCGATCCGCTCCACCATCCTCAGTCTCGACTGGCACCCCAACAATGTCCTGCTGGCTGCTGGGTCATGTGACTTCAAATGCAGGTATCAGTGAATAAAAAAGATTAAGAGTCAGGATCTCTGTTGTCATACAAGCAGTTGTTGGCTCTTAAATCTAAGGATGCCTGCATGGATGCTTATTACAAATATTTAAACAAAACATCACATTGGTAAAATGAGAACTAATGAGAAAAAGAATAGTGCAGAAGTTCAAAATATAGTAATAGAAAAGGGTATATTAAATAAACACAAGAAAGAAAAAAATATGAAGGAGATTATATGGAAATGTAATATTGTGAAAATGTGCACAAGTAACAAAATGTATTATTTTTGAGTTTTCTCTCATTAGTTATTTTTTTACCCCTTATTTGATAAAAGGGAGTGTGTCCTGTGCCCTAGATATTGTACAGCCCTTTGATTAGAAAGTTGTGATTTCTGTCTGAATAAATACTTTTTAAAAGTTATTATCAAGAACAGTTTAGCCTAACTTTATTCTTAAATCTAAAGTCCAATCAGATACTTAATGATCCTATCAACCTCACTTCATATGTATGAATGACAAAACAATAGTACAACATGAAGACATAAAAAAGATGATCAATCATATGTCTTCTCTCTCTTGCACCTTTTTTACACTCTAAACCCCTCTTGTCCTCACAGGGTATTCTCCGCCTACATTAAGGAGGTGGAGGAGAAGCCTGGCCCGACCGCTTGGGGCAGCAAGATGCCGTTTGGTGAGATGTTGTTCGAGTCCGGAGGATCTGTAGCTGCAGATCAGACTTTGGTTGGAGGCGGTGGTTGGGTGCACAGCGTGTGTTTCTCTCACTCTGGGAACCGCCTGGTCTGGACCTCCCACGACTCAACAGTGTCTGTTGCAGAGGGAGGCAAGACTGGCACGTAAGAGAGGGTCGGGCTGCGTAACTGCATGTTTGTGTGTGTTGTTGATGTGTAGTCTGACCTTTGTTTTGATCTCACAGGGTGAACAGTCTGAGCTCTGAGACGCTTCCCCTACTGTGTGTCACTTTCATTACTGAGAACAGCATAGTGGCAGCTGTAAGTATTCACTCCATAAACAGTATTTAGTCAGAGCATGATAAGTTCTTTTTATGCTTTTATTTTTACTCTGACTGATTTTCTGATGGACTAAAATCAATTTAACAACTAAACCAGACGTGAAAATGAACTGTAATATTTATTGGGAGTCTTCTATATATACAACAAAACAATTCAAGCACTGAGAATTGGCCTAAACACTGAAACGTTCAGTAAATACAGGGATGTTTGTTGTATGTTTTCAAATCTTTCGCTTTTCCTCATTTTCTGTCAGCTATTGCCTGACTATGTCATAATCACAGAACAAGAATAACATGTTCACTTATTGCTTTCTGAAAATAAAAACAGTTTGCATCTATTTTTACATGTTAATCAAATATTATCAAACAGTTACACAAGTTCATAAGTTAGCAGACTGTTCTTTGCCAGAAATAGAGAAAAAATAAAAGTGACAGGGTCACCTTCAACAACATTGCAATCAAAACACTTTAAGATATTACTTAATTTCATCTTTGAGCTTTCTATCTCAATCTTGATACTACAGCATGTTAAGGTCTTGTATATTATCACCTTCCTTATATATAAGGAGATCTATATGGAGAGTCTTCCTGACCGCATGTTCCTGTGTTTCTGCTCCTTCAGGGCCATGACTGTTACCCGGTGCTGTTTGTGTATGATGGGGCTAAAGGCAGCTTGACATTTGGTGGTAAGCTGGATGTTCCTAAGCAGGCGGCCCAGAAGGGCATCAGTGCCAGGGAGCGTTTCCAGAACCTGGACCGTCGAGCCTCAGAGACCCAAGGCACTGAGAAGGACCTGAACAGCCTGCACAAGAACAGCATCAGGTGGGGAAGAAAAAAATGCTTACCTAAAGCTAGACTGTATGTAGTTAATTATCTGATCACTGGAAAGTTCACCTGCGACACCTTTTGTCACAAATGTTTCTGAATGTTAGCGCCAGAGTTTGTGAATAACACTTTCACATTTATATACACACAACCATCATTGATGTGTTTTGCTCTGCAGCACAATTAGGGGTGCATTTAACCCTTGCATTTTTTTTTGCAAATTCAACTATGTTTGATTTGTTTGCACAGCTTAAGCAGGCGCAAAAGCAATGCAATCCTTGATTGATTCAGGTCCTTAGTTTCTTTCTCTCCACCTCGACATATTCAATTGAACTCAATCGTTCGTTTTAAAAGGTGTGTTACTCATCATCCCAATCAAACAGTTGTTTTCCTTTTTTATCTTCAAGTGCGTTGTGTGCAGATTATTGATTTGTCTAAAACAACATTTTCAGCCAAATCTCAGTGCTCGAAGGAGGAAGAAACCAGTGCACCAAGTTCTGCACCACTGGCATGGATGGAGGAATGGGCCTCTGGGATGTCAAGGTAGCCCACTCATAAACAAAAGAACAAACACACACACACCCCTAAAACAGATCACACCAGCTACAGATGCTACACGTCAATTTGGCCACATGTTTCTTCGTATGATGTCCTGATTTTTCTCCAAACACAACATGAACATTGTTTTTAAACATTCTTTTTCCTATTTCAGACTCTGGAGTCTGCAATGAAGAACCTGAAAATAGTCTGAAGTCTGAATTCAAGTTTACGGCACTCCGGCAAAAGAAAATGCGCTTCGGTGGACATGAAGGAAACCGCTGCCTTGTCCCACATCGCTTTTTGGCCTTATTTTAATCAGGTATTTTTATATATTCAAGTTTAACAATCAGACTTGGGTCAGTCAGTGTTTATCCCTCTGAAACACTTTGTTGAGCCTGTTAAACCCAGCACTGTGTGCAGAGGACTGACCCCAGTCTGCAATTGGTACTTAATGAGTTAGATTAGTTTAATCACAGAGAGCTCAGTCTGAGCTGAACGCTTACAGCTGGAATTTTATAATAATCTTGATGAATACCTACAGTATTTGTTTGTTTGTTTTTTTTAAAGCTTATGCTGGTCATAATATGCATTTAATAAATGATTGCTGTTTTAAAGCACACTCTGTCTTCATTTATTTCAGGAGTGGGTGTGTGATATCAGATTAAATCAAGGCTTTCGTTATATTAGTGGTTTAAATACATTTAAGTAAAATTACTCTGACAGTTTAAACTTGCTTTAAACTGCATTAATCATCCTGTGATATAGACGAAATAAATGAATAAATGTTAAAGATCGTAAAGATTGAAACAGAACGTTTTCACAAGCTTTATTGCTTTATTGTAAAAACAAAGAAAACGAAGAACACAAAAAAGATCCCTCACTATTCCCTCCTTTGGTTACAAGAAGGGCTTCACTACTCTGCCAACAAAACACATTGAAGCATTTTATACATCTAGTCAGCGCTTAAAACACATACATTTAATGAAAAACAAGTGATTAACAAGGTACATTTTCCTCTTCCACCAAAGATAAACATCTTCAACATTTTTGTATGAATTTTGGCTGCCCTTTTTTTACACAACAGACTAAATAACATATTTCATGTAACATAAAAGGTATCTTCAAGCTAACAGCAATCTGTTGTTTTTGTTGTTTTTGCAGCTGTTGGAAAAAAGATTACAATTTTAAAAAAAGGGGAGATATTTTTGTCCCTGCTATTATATTTACTTTGTCTTTGCCCTTTAACACTTCTTGCCTGCCTTTGCCTTTTGTTTGTAGTCGGAATTATCAACACATTAAAAATATTAGACATTAGGTTATGATCCTTGGTTACTGTCCAGGTAGATAAACCAAATTAATTCAGAACAATGTATCATGATAACAAGGTGGTTAAGCTTTATTTGAGAATTTATTGAGGTAATGTGTGCCACTTGTACAGCACAAAGTCTTGGACATAATAACACTATCATCAAAATACTGAAAACGACTTTCAAAGTGTTGTTGAAATAATGAGCAATACAATCCAACATATTATCTTTTTAGCACACATGTTGTTTCGTATAAAGATCAAATATACCAAAGTTGGAAGAATAAATTCCCATCTTGCCAAAGGGATCATCAGTGGAGTTCAAGCACACAGCGATTATCAACATTCCCACCTGTATGTAGGCCTACCTTCTGTGACCAATTTGAATTCTCGAAACTAAACCAAGAATACCCTGATGACATCAAAATGACATCACTTGGGGTTATTTTTAGACTTGACAAAGATCCTCTAGGGAAAACGATATAGCACAGCCATGGTTTTACCCACAATCACTAATTATTTATTGAATTCCCCTTCAGATATTTATTTTTAACTGAATATATTAATAAAAATTTTTTAAAAAGCTATCATCATCATGTTATAGCCTATCGTCACAGAGCCTGCATTGCACGCCTGCAACTCCACCTAGAGGCACAACCTGGAAGTGCACCCCCATAGAAAAGACTCGGCAGAGATTCCCCTCATCCTCAGGCATGAATCACTCCCTCAACAAAATAATAAATAAATAAAGTGGCATCCTTCAGTGATGAAAAACAGCCCTCTTCACCGAGTGCTGCTGAGGTGAACCGGTGGCTCCAGCTCCAGCACAGAAAGAGAGAGAGAGGGAGAGAGAGAGAGAGAGAGAGGGGGGGGGTAGAGATAGATAGAGAGAGAGAGAGAGAGAGAGACCACCACCGTGTACGGTAAACCGGCTGTCTCCCTTCAGAGACACCGTCCCCGACGCCCACACTTCCGGACTGGAGCCTCTGGAGGCAGCTGGGTCGGGATGAATTCGTTTCCCGGTGCTGCTTGAGATGAAGATAAGACAACAACAACAACAACAACAACAACAACGACGACGACGTCCTCCCGGTGAAAACACAATGTGCATCACGTTACATTAGGGGCGACCGTCACAATCCGACCTGAAGTGATTAAATATCGGCGGCTATTCGCTCAACAGTCTAAACGGATTGAGGCTTTGGCCATACACTGTCCGTCTGCTGTCAACTGTTGCTGATTTCCACTGTAAATGAATCTTGTAAGGTAGGTGACATCATTTCATTGTCAGTTTTTTTTAATTCATAAATAGCCTTAAAAAAAGAAAAACGACGATAAATGTAAAATACTCGCGTGTTAGTGGTTTTGATGATGAGGATGAGAGTGATGGGTGGAAGGTTTTAAAAATGACCTGTTAAAAAAAAAAAGTCAACATCTGCATTACAAAAGTCAATATTTGCATAATATTATCTTATATGGTGATGTATAAGAAATCGTGCATCCCTGACAAGCATTAGGCTATTAAAAACACACACACCTGCCACTTCCCTCCTTCTCCTCCTACTCCCCCTCATCATCATTATCTTGCTATCTCCACTGTCAAGTCAAACAAACATATCCTCTGTCTTAGACTTGTGTGTTTACCTTCATTAAAGAAAGCCATTCAGGACTAGCCAATAGGTTGTCGTTTAACAGGCTTTGGATGAGTTGAAGAAGCTGAACAGAGCATTTCATGGTTACTGTCATAAATTGATAATTCTTGCTGTGCGCTACCTCGATAATTCTTTTTTTTTTTGTCTTTAGGATCTATGAAAACAGTACACTATGTACCACACAAGTTCCAACAGCGCTCAGGCTGACATATTAGTGTTGTTTTGTTTCTTTAATGAACAATCCAAAGCTGAAAGACAGTTAATTTATTTGATACATAAGATATGAAAGGCAAATAAACATAGGCCTATCTGACATGGTGCATCATGCATATAGGCCTATATGATGGTATATGAATGAAACATTTAATAATTGAGTTTGTGTTTTCCCTCTGTAGAGCAGACTATTCTGATAAGGCCTTTTCAAAGACACGTAATCTTGGTTATTCGTAAAATCAGATCGGGAAATCAAATGTGTTTCTCATTTGTGTTGTTGTACTGTAAACTATTTCTGCAGGCAAATTGAAGTTCAATTGTAGGCGTATATGATTTGAGTTGTGTTTTGGTTGTGACACTACTGTTCATATTTAAATTGTTTTTACTTGATCTTCCAAGTAGTTGGGGGATTATGTTTTGTTTTTCCTAAAATTATGAAAATTCTATTGAAGTGATGCTTGGCCAGCTGTTTCATTTTCCTTAACTACATTTCAAACATCAGAGTTGAAGCAATTCATTTATCAGGCGATCAAAAGAAAAGGTATCTGCAACGAGTTTAATGAACAATTGATCGTAAGTGTTTTTCTGCAAGAATTAATGGTAAAAAAAAAAAAAAAATCAGATTAAAGCTTTTAATATTTGTTAACATATGTTTCCAATGTTAGAAAGTTTTCAATCAAAAAACTACAACATTCTGTATTTAATGGGATGCTTTTTCACACAGTTTGTGAACAAAACAATTTAATTGAAAAGATAATCAAGAAAATGTCCTAAATCTTAACCTCCCCTTTGACTGCTCTGTCATTTCACAATCAAACATGAAACAGAGTCAAATGCAACAGAAATCTTCCAGAAATGAATATTTATCCTATATGTCAATGTATTTCTTAGTCCTCAAAACATCAGATAATACACTTTTTCCTTTCAATGTCGAAGAAATAATTATATTTCTGGTTTTGTCAGGCAGGCTGTCTTCACCTCAAATATATGACATTTAAAAAGGAAAAACCAGCAAAACCTCAAATTTTAGATGCTTGAGTCCGAGAATACTTTACATCTTTGCTCCTCTCAATGAGTTGCCGATACATTTTCTGTTAACTGGCTAATCAGTTATTAAGCTAATTGCTCTAATTAGTATAGAAAACTCTTGATACACTTGCTCAAAGATCAGGACTTCCGTGTCAATTAAGAAGGCTTTGATATGAATGAAATCTTCATAATTAAGTACAGTTAGGTCGTGGTGTTTGTGGTTTATTTAGACAAGTGAAACCCAGACGTTCCTTCTGTCTGTTCTGCTGTCATACAAGACAAGTTATCATGATGTTTCCGCAACTCTGCTTCTCTCTGTCCACTTAGTGTGTTACTCTGCCTGCCTGGCCTCTGGCCTGTTAATTATCAGCCAGCTTGATAAAGTCATTAATGACCCGGCCAAGCCTGCTGGGTCTGGCACTGATACACACACACACACACACACACACACACACACACACACATCAAAGAGAGAGTCAGGCAGACAGACAGTGTAGGACAGAGCTGGATACAAGGAGAGGAAGTCTCTTTATTTGGGACAGTACAGTGTGTTTCTGAGCCGGGTCACTTTGTATTAATAACTCTGAAGGTTGTCACTCTAAAAACAGCAGGAGCACAATTAAAGTGAAAGAAAAAACGACATTTGTTAGACACTCGAATCTTTGACTCTATCAATACTTTAGTTTTTCCTCTTGGATCAGCAGTGTGATATAAATGATTTAAAAAGACTGGAATCTGCTGATGTGTAGGAGGGAAACATTGCGTTCTCCTGTTTCACTCTGTTGCACAACAACACAATAAGAAGCACACATTTACGAATAGCATCACTCCACTTAAACTAAATATTCTATATTTTGTCGACAAAGTCATATTTTTTTGTACGGAGATGGCACATAAATGCAAAGCTTTATGGATGCTGATATAAATGTGTTTCTTCCTTTAGCTGTTAGCTGTGATGAATGATTTGATTGTCCTAAAAATCCATATTGGAATTTTTCTTTGAAATAGTGTTCCCTTTGATTGTGTCCCACTATTCTTGG